GTATGCTCAGTGCTTGTCCGAGAGCTTGCGAAAAAAACCTTTAACGTGATATTGAAAGAGGATACAAATATGATGCAACAGTTAAGATTATTTGGTATTTCATTTGCCATGCCCAGTCTTTTAACAAGTTTTCATAACGTAATTACCGTTTCTTTAAACAAGTCGAGTGCCATGATCTTGGTGTCATTCTCCATTTCTGTAATATACCTGTAGAGTATGTGTATGGAAGCAGTTGTGTGGAGAGATTTTCATCCTTCAGTGAATAGAATTTGTTAGAGTGTTTGCTGTAGTTTTCCTTTTGTTTAACAGAGCCATAATAGACCCCTTTGCTGATGCTGCCAAGCTTCGTTTGAATGTACCTGTACATGAACACTTCCTAATCTATAGTGCTTAGTGGACAGTGGGCCCTAACTGACTCCATAGGAAAGTGCATGCCGTGTACACATACATACGTGTAAGCAAAGACTGATATCACAAGTACGAAGGCCTATTGGGTTTTGTACATATCTAGCCATTATAACCCCAAATGAAGTAGAAATTATTCTTAGGCTTTCCACAACAATCTGATAACATTGGATTGCCAAAGTTGCCTAGGACATCTCTACGTTTGAGGTCATTTCTCCATCCTTAGCTCAATTTCTGTTCTCAAATTCTGTGTCGCTCTGGAACCCATTTTCTCCACTTGTGGTAGTCATTTAATGTATGTTAAATTGTGTTGAAATATGCCAACTTTGTTCACACTTTCAAAGTTGAAGTTTGTAATTGCAACAAAATAAGCAATGTTATCTCATTTTCCCATCTGTCTATTACCGTTTGAGTGATACTCGATTGCAGGAACTAAGCAGGTGCCCCACTTACTACAAAAAAAATATGGTACAAATATTTTGGCAATGTTCTACAGACTTAGTGCTATGAGAGTTGCAAATGAAAGTTGTATAAAGTGTACATATCCAGTCATACTACTCATCAGGGTGCTGACATAATTATTACTCATATTCACCAGCCATGAGACCATCTGTAGCTGATGTCAGTACACATCCAGCTGCTTCTTTCTTTACATGTACAAGTACATACTACAGCTAGTGTTGACTTGCCCAAGGAAGCAACAAGCTTCTGGATTTAACCCCCTGGGAGACACGAGCTAACCACTAGTCCACCTATACTGTTAATGAACAGCTTGCTTAACATACATGTAGAAATCTTGCACATAACTATGGTAAATTTCCAGGACCTACATTAATTTACTGTACATTATACATGCACATGCATGGTGGTACATGTAGATTTGCTTTAGCAAGCCAAATTAAAAACTTCATTTAACTGTGTAACAAGTAATTTAATTTCTCTTTAAGTACCTTTATAAATACCTTAGTTTCCTCCCCCACACAAGTGCTGGTCGGGTCTCCCAGTGATACTTACCCCAGTACAGCCTACATATGCAACTTTCCCGTGTGCCTATTACAATTTGCTGAAAAGACTTGGTTATGCATGTTGCCCCCTGACCCACCACAAGGCAATGCGGTCCTGCCGCCATGTTCGTCGTTCTTTTCGAAGCGGAGAAATTCCTGGAGCTAAAGTGGGGAACGACGGGCGGGAGTGGCCGGACAGGGGTAAGTATCACTAGGAGACCCGACCCACACTTGTGTGGGGGAGGAGTCTCCTGCGTTCACATACCCCTGTCCAGCCTACAAATGCAGAGTAGCACCGTACCCTGAGGAGGGTCGGCGACGGGAGAGTAATTACTAGAGAACATACGCGGGTGCTACTCAAGGGAATACTCACTATTCTGGAGTAAAGGAATAGCATCTACGATGAGGAATTTTTGTTCGGTGAGGGACAGCGCTGGATGCTGTCCCAATCGCTGAGTGTAGGGTTGCCGTGCCGTGAGTCGTCTCACTCCACAGGACATCCTTCGGGTAGCACTCTGTGAAGGTGGAAGGAAATTTCCATAAAGCTGCCTGGCAAATGTCTGCCAAGGAGACACCTCTGGGCGAGCAGCTGGTAATGCCTGGTTCGCTTGCCTTCTCGGCCATGATAGAGGCTGATGATGTAGAGGTGCAGGTTCATGAAGTGAGATTTTCTTAGCAGTCTCCATATGTTTTACCTCCGACTCAAGGACTTTAGTGAACGTCCCAGCAAGAGATCGTCCCCCAGAAGGGGGAGGCCCATAAGCCTATTCTTTATGGACCCATACGGGATATCCATGGCGTCCACCGTGTTGGGTCTCCGGGTAGAAGTGGCTTGAAAGAAAATGCGAGTGAACTATTCGAAGATCGAATTAAGTCCCTCATCACGGCCTCGTAAAGCTATGGCTGCAAACTCTGGAGAGACCGGAGAGTCCAGATCAGGCGCCATCGCTACTAGCTGAGGCTTAGAGTCTATCTTGCGGGCAAGCGACGAGAAGGTATCCGACAGAGACTGGAGAGTTGCCATCCATGGAGGCAGATCCGGCTGGAAATGGCATCTCTTCTTGGCCTTTGATGAGGAAGAAGCTGAGGAGGATGACTTGGCCTTGTGCTTCTTGGACTTCATCGAAGCGGGGCGACTGGAGGCTGGCACGGGCGGAGGAAGGGCCGGGCAAGGATCCCGCAAAAGGTTGGTTGTCTCTTGCAAAGAATGTCCGAGATCAAGATCAGTAGGGCTCATGACCGGAATCCACCCGCGGGTTGGAGCTGTGGCAGATGTAAACCCCGGTGATGTAACAGTCCGGAAGGGGCACCATAATACGAGGCGACGGGATGCTGGAGAGCATGCAGGGTTGTAGGCTCGCCTGTGACAGAAGTGGTGGAACATGGCAATCCTGGAGGGAGTTGACTGGCCCAACTTCCGAGTGGATGTCGCCCGGTGAGCAGGGGCAGGTGAAAGGCCCGGGGCAGACAGTGGACTGTCGCCCCGCAGGCCCCGCTGAGCCATCGTTGGGTAGGGCCATCCGGGGATGTGATAGGTAGGAATGCCCGGAACCTGCAGCATAAAAGGAAGGCACGGCCCATTACTCCCAACGATACTGATCAAAGGCATTGATGTGGAAAATCCGCTCAATCCAATGAATAGGTGTAGCCTCAGGGCCCACCACCTTGGGCCCCCGGACTGCTTGGCTGTGGCACCAGGAGTGGGCAAAGAAGACGACGGCGAAAGACCAGCAGGCTTGGCTCGGTGGTGAGTAGGTGGGTGGTAGTCATCAGTGATCAAGGGCTTTATTACGGAACCGCACTTTCAGCCCAATCAATACTGGTAGTGGTCATCAGAGGTCAAAAGCTTCGCTGTACTCCAGTCCGCCTGATCTATAGAGGCTGTTTTGATCTAGGAGTTGCGGTACTCCGGTTCTCTCTAGTCAAGGAGGGTATTGATCAGGTTTTGCGGTACTCTGGTCCGCTTGATCATGAAGATCCAGGCCTGGGATGCCTCAGCCCCGGCCTACTCGGGTCTCTCCATGTCGAGGTCGCTAATCGGAAAACACAAAACCGCCCCACAGGGGAGCGGGGTGGCTCACTAAGCCCCGCTCCGCGGCCAGACCCGAACTGCATTGGGCTGTTATTGTTCGAACGCACACACCACATAGTGAGCAAAGGGCCCTCCAACCCTTTAACGGCCATACCCACATAACACATCACGGTAGGTCACAACCCAACCTATATATGATGCACAAAAAAAAGGGGGCAGAAAAGAACCACAAGAAAACATAGCATGCAAGAAACTACTCTTTATATCATAACAAAAATCAAGTCAATGCAATAGCACGAAAGGTATGGAACTCGAGAATTTGAGGATTCATAAAAGACACATCTGTAAACTATAGGGGTACAGTCCACTAATTCAAGCCCCATTGAAAACGTAAAATCAGCGCTGTTCAGGGCCCAATAACATGCACGCCAACATCCCCGAGATTTCTGAAACACAAATGAAATTCTTGTCTGATCACCAATCTTTCAATTTCTTTTCAATTTTCGGTGGGTTAACCAATTAGTTTTAATTATTCCCACAAAACAAAATCACCCCCCAAAAGTGATTTTTCCGAAGNCTTAGTTTTTAGACATTCTGCTCTCATGTGAAAGCTCAAAGTTCCAGAGAGTTGACCCTAGCAAGGATTTACACAATCTCACCAATTTGGGGGCCGAACAATCTCCTTGTTCAAAAGATACTGTGGGGGGCACTTTTAATGCTAATGAGCTGGCCAGAAATTCTAACTTGAATTAGTGGTCTGCACCCATAGGCACTGAGAAAAGGACAAACATGGCGGCGGGACCACATTGCATTGTGGTGGGTCAGGGGGCAGCATGCATAATCAAGTCTTTTCAGCGAATTGTAATAGGCACATGGGAACTTTGCATGTGTAGGCTGGACAGGGATATGTGAACGCAGGAGACTTTCTATTCAACAACGTGCAAAGTCACTTTGTATCAACATTTGATAATGCCCAATACGTAAAAACATGCTGCCTGGATATAAGATAGTTTAATCCATTCCTATGGTCAAGAGTCTGTGTGTGCCATGGCATAAAGAACTTGCCACGTGTACGCCCTGTCCATGTAAGGAGATTCTTCTGGACTACGTGTACTTGCACAAGGTGTATACCATAAACTGGATGGGGGTGTTCGGGAAAATGGAAGTAAAGTTTTTGAACAAAATCCTGGGAAATCCTTGTATTGACTTCTTTTCACTCACTGACTAAAATGGTATTACCAGCTCAGGAGAATGAATGCTGATAACTGTGGCTTGGGCATTTGTTGTGTCCTTTCTCCTGAGCCAATCTCATTCACATTTCAGACCAGCCAAAGCATGTTTATTCCCTTATTAAATTTATGCAGATGTATACAAGAGAAAGTACGTACATGAAGAAAGAACAGGGCGAGTTGGGTATCAGCTGAGCATGTGTGTACGTTGCCTTTAGGCCAAGCAGCATATTTATATCAAATGACTACAAACTGTTTGCTCACTTTAAGATTGTCCATGTAAATCTGTTCCTCTTTGTAAATTAAGGTCTTCCAAAAGCTTGTCTTTGAAAAGCTTTTTCAATTTTTTTTTACAGGATGTGGTGAATGAGCCTCAGGTAGTTCATGCTAGCATTGATGTTATCAATGACATAGTACGGAGTAATCAACTCAATGTAGCATCAGAAGATACAGTGCTCAAGATGGTGCTTACTTGGTTGCAGTGGGACTTGATCACCAGAAAAGTTTTCATGACAGGTTTGTTGGAAAATGTGCGATTGCAACACATTACACACGATTCTTTACACAGTATGACGACTGTTGATATGGAACCAGAGATGATGTGTGCTGTTCAAGATGCTGTCAAAGTATGCAAGGAAGCATTTCACTCATGTAAGGAAAGTAACTCTTCACAACAGAAATTAATGCAGCGACTTGGTATGTCTGCTCAGGAAGTGTTACTTCTTATTGGACGTAGTTGCACAGAACATACACTGTGTTGTTACCACCCGCCTTCACAGACAAGCTTCTTTATTAATCTCCCTCCAGTCTGTCGAACTTTTGGTGCCAAACTTGTAGTGACTGATGCTAATGATATATATGTAGCTACTGATGACTATCGCGAGAAGAGCATCTTTCGTTTTAACCACATACAGGCAAAATGGGTAGAAATGTCACCAATGTTACAAGGACGATCAAACTTTGCTTTTGTTACTGTTGGTGGCAAACTGTTTGCTTTGGGAGGGTTAAATGACTGGGAGATTTTAAGAAGTGTTGAGTGGTATGATCCTGCTAGAGATGAATGGCAGTTTGCAAGTTCAATGCCACGTGATGTTATTGATTTCAGCGCAGCAACTTGTAAGAATATGATATATGTATTTTCTGGAAGTCGCACAATGAGGTATGATATCCACACTGACACATGGATAGCTACCCTGCCACCTATGCCTACACCACGCCTTCAAGCTGCTTGCACTACCAATGGGTCTGAAATCTGGTTAATTGGAGGCTTCTTAGCTCAGAGTAGCTCAGAGGTTCCTACTGTCAGTGTAGAATCCTTCCTCCCAGAGAGTAACTCATGGACTAAAAAGGAACCATTACCAAGTCTGCTTCGTTTCTGTTCTGCTGTTAGGTATGAAGCAGGCAGTAAACTTTACCTGTGTGGTATGTGGTGTGGTGTGCATGAAATGGGCCTTAATATTCCCATGCAACTTAGTTCCCAGTTTGATCTGTATGACTTTGATGAGTTGACAAATTGCTGGGCAGATATTGCTTTTGACATACCAATGCAAGAAGTAGAGTCATGTGCAAGTGCTAGAGTATTCAAGAGATGAAAGTATGGCGAGTGCATCACTTTAAAGTTGAAAAAAATTTAGTTGTAATCGTATCTGAATAATGGTACATACCATAGGAAGTAGAGCAGTAATGGTCCATGCCACATGTACATTGTTAGTTGATGTTACTGGGTTTTACTTTTCAGTGTCTGCATTTAAGTTAGATGTGAAGTAATCAGTCACTGTGTATTTTTAGTAAAACAACACAAAAGGTTTGAAAATTTCAATTCACCGATCAAACCACAAAAAGAAACATGTCACATGTTGTGCACACTGCACATAATGGAAATGAAAGTTAACTTAGAATCTTACAAATGGAACCATTTGCATCTTTTATGTTGCCTAAAAATGCATACAACATACAACTTTTTAAATTCAATTTTTTGGGGGAAGTCATCAACCCTCGGGGAAAAAAGAGAACCATGGATAGGGTGTCATAATATGAAGAATATAGATTTGGCATTTAAACGATTTAAATAGTGTTATACTTCAGCTTTTTGCAACCAAACTGCCAGCCTCAAACTTTTTATTTGCCAACAACAACAGAAGTGGTGGTCCATACCGGTGATACTTGCTTTGATCTGGCAGTGATTCTTACACACACAGTGATATATGAGGTGGAAGAAATTGACCAGCCCAGTTGGGTAGCAGAGTCCCACTTTACTCAGTCCTGTACTGTGGTCTCCCAATGATTAACAGGGATTTGGAATTTTAAATAAGGAACATGTATATTGAAATCTACTTGTTAACAGTTGTAACAGGTAGCTACATGTAGTTAAACACCATCACAAATCCATGTAATACCCCCTGTTCAAACAGTATGTATTCACTTGTATCTAGAAGAATTTCAGGGTGCTGGTGATAATACGATGTGTGCATAGCATGTCAGCAATGTAATGGGAATGGACGAAGCAAACAGTGTTGTATTTAAGTCCATCACAAAGAGATGTAAGCAAAGAGATATGGTGGGCAATTGCAGGAAATTAAAATAAAATACTGAGCCTGTGACGCAATGCTCAGACAGGTAATGGAGTCAATATACATAAAAGAACTTTAGCCAGAAATGAACAGAAAAGAATGGACTGACAACCATTGGGAACTCAAGTGTGCGCAACTGAAAAAAACTGGTTTCTGTGGGATTGATGATGCATCGGCACATAGCTGAGGGTTCAGTGCATCACAACTTATCCAAGGGAATATGGCACGCTTGTGTTTGTTCTTTACACATTCTGACAATGGATGGGAGATGCCTGAAAATTTGTACAAGTTTCAACAGGGAGATGGCTTTACAGAAATCAAGTATGTTTCAGGGGAATACCTGTACAAGGTCAAGATCATAAAGTTTGTTTATAGTAATAATATCCTTTTCTTAAAATAAATCAAATGACCATAATTTTTGCAAACATTGGCATTTTTTCCCTCTTATTCAGGATTTGAAATATAAAGGTATGATTGAAACTAACAGTTTTATTTTTACTTAATTTTTCACATATGAAATACACGTACTTGAAGGTAAAAGCGGCCAACGCCCAAGTGATAACACTGATGTACACATGATAACATAACACCCCAATGTATGGAAACAGTGGGCATGCAGAAAGATACAAAAATCCTAATTTATTGGCAGCACAGTCATTATTAATGACCCTAATACATTATAAGTTGAGCAGCACGTGGTTGGGCAATAATCCAGCAGAACAGCAGGAAGGACCTTACAGTAAAATGGCATGTGCAGAGTGGTTACAAACATCCAGAATTCCAACTTTTTAAGGTGTGTTACATGAAGCTGGGTCTTGGTAAGTTGGATAAATTTGTTAATATTCCAACAATAGGAAGCATGTTGCAGTTCCTTTCAATTCTGCTTCCAAGAAACATGTCATCCCATTTGGGACACAGCATACCGGTGCATGTACTATACATTTACATCGACATACATATACTGTATGTGTACTGGTGCTGTACATGCAGATGATGAGGTCAAGCAAATCATATCTTCAATCAAACGAGTCTGAAGCAGGGTGGACTGATGATAAATATAAATACAATTGACTCCCATTAATACCAGTACCGACTCCATGAACAGTGGCTGCTTTTATATAAGCACGAGACTGGAATCCACTTGATGCAAATTTCCGATTCTAACCTGTTGGCTATTTAAGTCTGCAGTTTTACTGGTAACATGGGTCAACTGACTAAAATACACTGTGCTTACCATCAAAACTCCAAAATGTTAATATGGTTACAAAATATTACAAAAGTGCAGAAATTGAGAATGACTGCAGAAGTTGATGCATTCCATGCTGATGTATCTGATGTATGAAGTTACAAATTGGGAAAATACCCAATTTTACTTGTGTTGTTTGAATATATGTACGCAACTACTTAAGACTCATTCACTATCATTATTGTGTTTCTAATACTTTATTGCATGGTTGGGCCAACTCGCCTGCAATCCTTAACCGCAACCTTCTAGGGTGCACCCTTGTGTAAAATCATTGACATTGATTGAAATTGAAGGATTTGGGACTCAGTGTGGTCTATACATAAGTGTACCGTGTTTGTAAAAATTTACTGTACTACTCTAATTTATGCACAAATGCATTTCGTCCATATGACCAAAGTGGAATAAAATGAAAGGATATAAAGAACAAAATCATGCATACAAGCACAATTATTTATTCAAATGCAAATTCCATGCAGCTAATATTGACCAGCCACTCAGAACCACTTAAGAAAGTGTATGTTTTCTTCTAGATTTGATCTGTTTTCTTTTTGTTGGTAATTCTGTTACAATTTTTTTTGTAACAGATTTTGTTTTCTCTGCTAAGTTTAAGAGTTCCATTTGATGGTACAGTAATTAAATTACCATTACATGTATTTTTGACTTGATTATTTTTGTGATTTTTGGGCTTAATTTGAAAACAAACACTTAAATTACAAGAATTACAGAGTCAAAGTTGCAAGACGGGGATTGATACACACTGGGAAGAAGCTTGAAAAAAAAAAACCAATTAAGGAAAATTTTAACAGATCAAAATCTTAAATTAGTTACCCATCACCACAAGGTAAAAATGAATGCTTAATTAAATGCTTGATACAGATAAAAACATTAAAAGCTAAAAAGCATGTTAAACTGACAATTTGATTCGAATTGTTAGATTAAAAATATCAAATATGTTCCTCTACTTGAAGTATTGTTTTTGTTACGCTTTTTGTTTTGTTCCGATCAAATTCTCGTTTATCTCTGGGCACACAATGTATGAGGAAACTTCACCTTAGAAGTAGGATTTTACAATGATGCTCTTCACTTAATTAGCAAACAACTCTGTACAAAGAATTATATGTGACCTGTCACCACAAAATGAGCTGAAAGTCAGAATTTTCAAAAACTGAGATACTGGTGTTATTGAATTCAGCAGAAAGAGAGCTTTCCAATAGTATGTACATGGAACACTTAGGGTAAAAGTATAAGTTGACAATGTGGCATTATTCTGGCAGCTTTGTTCCCGACATTGTTTAAACATTTCAGACTAGGCACAAATAATGCTATCATCCAAATTGCTAAGAAAATGACATTTTACAATATGTGATTCTGTGAAATATTTGGAATTAATAGGAGTTGGGTTACTCTCTCCAAATATTACAAAACCCCCAAATTGACCTCTCTTCAATATGACTTTGAACTCTCAAAACGGGAAAGAGTGGAATGCTACTTTACTCTCATTTTGTCGTGACAGGTCACATATGGATGCTTAGAACTTGGCTAGAACAGATTTAGCAAATAAAATGAGTGCAATAATTAGTGGGATGCAACTCAAGAGAGCGGAGGCCCAGAGCAGCACCACCGTGTCTTGGTCCTCAAATAACATGTATTGTTATGACCGTAATAGAAGCATGCAGTCTGTAAAACCAGGGCAATCATAAATTACTCTGGAAGAGCCTTGGGTGAGCACCTGTGACTCTGGTCACTCACCACGATCTAAATCTCAAACTCAATCCAAAAGAAGAATAACAGTGAACCTATTTGCAAACACCAAAAGCAGTTAAAAGTGACATGCAGTATTACATTTCCAGAATACTCCCATGAAAAATTCTGATAGCTATGTGTAACACAAATACATGTACACGTACATGTACATTCATACCTGCTACTGGGTAATGAGGGAAGTTGTGGAACAAACTACCGTGTGACTAATGTGATCATTTCAGATATGAAAGTTCCACAGAACAAATGGAACATGGGCAATATACTATTAAGTAATCACATTCACTTCTAAGTTCACTTGGCTTAATTAATAAGATTTTTACAAGAAATGCATAGCGTTGTATTTGGGGGTAATGAAATACTTGTTTGGCTCTGACTGAACTTTGAAACTTGTTCACAGTTCCAAATTTTTGAAAATGGTTGGTGGTGTAAAAGCTGTGGTTGTCCTTGTCCAAGATGTTAAAAACAAAAGTTTGCGCAGCTAATAACTTTTTGCAAAAGCCACTGTTGCTACATTGTGTAGCTACATTGTATGCCTCAAATATGTTGTACGGTGGGAATTTAACCAAGTTTCGTGAAATCAGTTGTTGCAAGGCACACATCACACAAGCACATCATGCTGAGGAAGCCACCCTGATAGATTGTGGAACTGTTCTCCACCCACTAAATTGCCATCTAGGCATACTGTTTGATTTTGTGCCAGAGATGCACACAACCAAAAGTGGTGTTCTACAATCGTAGATTTAACACCCCCCCCCGAATCTTTCTGAAGTCAATACATTTTGCTGTGTGGCAGGTTAGCTATCTTTCATTTCAGGCCAAGTCTTGCCATCTAGCATGATAGATAACATAAGCTTTGAGCAAATGACTGATATGACTTGACCAATGATGGATGCACAAACAGGTTTGTGGGAAATACACATGACATCAAAGCAACCAATGTATAAAGAACACAGACTTCTGCACACAAGATGGTATTGTGCAATACTGTGAGCCATCAACAGTTTACAGACTTAAAAAAGAAGGAGTTAATGTTGCAAGGAGACATCAATCTTAAGATGAAAGTTGCTTATATACTTCACATAAAATGTAATACACAAATTTGACAAATCCCAACTGGTTTCAGTTTTGCTAAACTTTGCAGGGAGTATTTTATTCAGTAAAATGTTTTGTTTACATACTAATTTATGAACCACACCTCATAGGATTTAAAGGTAGGGTACACCATTGGTTTTTTGTTCATAATTTCATAAGATTGGCTGACAACAGTATATACATGTAAGTATTCACTGCAACTTACATTCCACTGATTTGTTTCATGTTTGAGTCAACTGCTTTGTGAAAATCAAGAAAAGCACTGTGGCATTTTCAGCAATTAAATCAAAGGTCTTGTAATTAATTTTGCGTAAGATTTATGAAATACATGGGTTTCGTACTAAGGAAGCAACACCCACAGGGTCAGGGTGAGGATCAGACACGACAGGTTCTCTTTCCCCCTAAACAAAGGAACAATTTCAAATGGTCAGGAGTAATCAGTGAATTTACCTTGGAGTAAATGCACCTCTTTGACAATGTATTTTTGCAGATTCATGAAAAAAATTCATCCAGGATTGCAGTTGACTCATGTCTGTGACAATGAAATGAACATGATAATGCACGAGCGTGCGCAATCATGCTTAATGACCACACTTTCACATCAGTTTGCACGTCAACAGAAGTCTAAAAACTCCATTCTTAGTTGAGTTACTAATGATTATAAGCACAGAGGAAATTATGTCCTGAAACACAGGAGGTTTAAACATGTGGAAATCCTACTTTTTGTGGATGAAAATCCTTTTGCTGAGCAGCTCGGACACGACCACCATATTTGGACCATACCAGTACCATAATGCTCCTGGGGTGATTTGGAATTTGCAAAGTTTTCACGTTAAGAAAATCCTTTCCTTAAATAAAATTTAAGTTCACACTGATCCAATTTATGTTTGACTTTACACCTAATGCTCAGTTTCCTATAATTTCAATATACAATGCGTAAGGTGAATTTCTACTGGTACATTTTTAGCTGCTTTTAGTATAACCCATTTTTTAACGGAAACTCCAACATCTGCAAACACTACACACCAGAAAATTGGCTTCTGTTAATGAATGTAATGTGCGAAGTGAAATGAACTCTTTAACGATGGTTGGCCAACCATCGTGAGAAAAAGAGAACAATATTTCTGTTTTCTTGGAAACTACAGCATTCTGGGTGGAAATAGGCCGTTATTTTCTTTCAAGTAAGATATTTCAGGATTATACAAATGTACAGTAATCCAATTTGGGGGATTTTACCAATGGTGAACCCTACATTTAAGGCTTTGGCTCCACACCTCATAAACTAACTGACTAACAGGCAGTGTTGTAGTCGAGTACTTTCCCCGAGTAACAACGTTCTCCGCAAAATGCTGGGTAAGAGGGAATAAAGCCAGAGTGCACAGGCATTATGATGGTAAATGTGCAAAGGTAAGACTAAAAAATAAATGTTAGACTTCAGAAACTCCCAGTTGTGTAAAATGTAAGTTTTAAGGAGAAAAGTACTCAGCCAAGTACTTTCCGAGTACTTTTGTCCTTAAAACTTAAATTTTAATCAAACAGTGATTGTCTGAAGTAATTATATTGCTTTGTAATCTTACCTTAATGAATGTACCATCAAATGCCGATGTACTTAAGCTTTGTTCCCTCATTACTAGTTAAATATTTGGTAGAGAACTTGGTTCTCAAAAAGTACTCGGCTACATCACTGCTAACAGGCTGAAGTATGTATACATATATTAGCCCCCCGGATGTCTAGCAGGTTACAGGATGAAAATGAAAAATCCATGCTACTCTAAAATATGAAACTAAAAGGGTTGGTGGAGAAAAGTCACCTGTACAAAAGGAAACATATTGAAAATCAACCCGAACGGAGGAAGCAAACACAGTAATTTCTCAATGGGCATGCACCTCAGGCATGTCCTAGAGGATTGGCATAAGAGTTGATTCTCTCAAACTGTTAATTACATTTTGCAGTGCTCCGAGTCTAAAGAATGATTTTGTACAATGTATAAGATGAATAAAATACTTCGTCATCTGTGGGCAAGGCGTAGTGTGGTATTACAGTAATCTTCCTCTGCACTCATGAGATCCACACAAACAAATCAGGGATTTACCAGGTACACTACCGACATCATAGTTGTAATCCCATGTCAACTCAGATCCAGCACGAACATACCTGCACAAAAGGAAGAATTTGAGAAAAAAATCGTGCCCAATGACCTATTATTCATTCAGACATGCAAAATACAGATGCAATGCATCACGGAGGAAAACCACATTCTGTTTTGCACAAGATTTTTCACCTTTTTTTGTCTTTCTTTCAATGCATGTAATTTGACAATAATCTCACCATGTGAGACTATGTACTTTGTACAAACTATGAATGTTTATGACTGCAAAGATTCAGTTATTTATGGTAAAGTCACGGTATGGTATTACAATACTCTTCCTCTGCACTCATGAGATCCACACAAACAGATCAGGGATTCACACAAGGGGACATATGAAAGGAACCAATCACCTTGTACAATTATTCTTACCGTGGTACAAAATTAAAACACTATTTCTTTTATAAAACGCTACAAAAAGCATGGAAAATCCCACAACTTCTGAGTAAATTCCCTTCTGAATACATTCCCTGTATTACATTAAGCTAAGAAATATCTATGACCACAGAACAGAACTGATTGACAAACCACAGATCAAATCAGATGACAAGGATTTATTAGTGTGTTATAAACAGAGAATGAAGGCACATGATTAGTGGCAAATGCTTCATGATAAATAATAATTATAAATAATGTTCTAAATGATTCCTACATGGTAGGCAGGGAGATGCAGAGTTCTCTGCGCATGGGAAATGCTAGGATTATTTCATCAGCGCGGTTACCCTCCGGCTATCACAGACGCTGCCTTCCAGGCTGTATCTTCAATCCTATGCAAAACGGCTTTGAAACCCACTTGGGCCAAGTAACATGATCGTGTCCCCCTAGTGCTCACATGCCACCCTTGAAACATCGTGGTATGTAATTTTCGTACACTCGGGGATGATGAAGCCACAGCTTCCATTTTTTCTGAACTCCCGATTTGCGCATTTAGGCACGATCATTCTGTCGGGGACATGGTTGTGTATTCCCAGTTAGATTCTGTCTCGCCGTCACAAGCAGGCAGCACTTCCCCTTGTCAGCATCCCGGATGTAGCACCTGCCCCTGCATAGTTAACAGCCTAACGGTCATCGGCCCCCACATTAGCTACAGAATATGCAGGGAGCATACATGCATTACAGGTAATGTGGTGTATTGCATTACATGTCGTTGCTGTGGCAAACTGTACATCGAAAAGGCCAAGTGTCGCCTTGGTGACCGCTTCATGGAATGCTTGCGCAGTGTGCGCCAACAAACACCTGGTCTCACTGTTGCCCAGAACTTTTAAAGCCACCACATACTTTGTGGAAAGCTTCATCCGATGTATAGTGTAAAGAACTGGAGCAGTGCATCATTTTCGAATTTGGAATGCTGCATCCAGGTGGAATGAACATGGATTTTTCTGTGTTCATTTAGAAGTGAATCTGCTTGCTCTGACAAAGGTAACCAGTTACCGAAAGCTCGGTAATTACACAGTTCAGAGTACTGATTATATATTATATTTTGTCTATATTCTGATCACGGTGCTACACAGACCTTTCATACTTTTTGAGAAATTGAAAACTGGTTTTGAAGGACTATGAGGATTCAAATAGATGAAAGTCAATAAGAAAGGTTGAAGAAATATTGGATTTGACTAATCTTTGTATAAAGAATATTGTCTTAAATTGTGTTGTTAATATTTATTTCAAGAATCTACATTTGATTTGAAAGGGTAGTTGAACGTGTCGAAGGTAAATTTGATTAATGTACACCACAAGCCACATTGAATGGTTGAACATTTAATTTCAGTCATTTGGAATAGTCACATAATGAGAAATTAAAACAGTTGATCTGGTTATGATTTGAAGAAAAAGTTGTACCAAAACTAGATCCTTGTACATGGGATCACTGTACTCTAGCGAGGAGAAAGTTCTTGCCCAAGGCCTGAACTTTGCTCTCACTCCCCGGGCCCTGCCCAAGGAAGAGATCATTCAAGCCACTGAGCCCACTCTCCGGCACCTAGACAAGACCACCGCCGATGAGATCCGCCTCGACATCAGCCAAACCCTCTGGAAACACAAGAACCCCAACCCAACCCAACATCACCAGAGAAGACTGTTCAGCCATCAAGTCCCTCCACCAAGACAAATCCATCCATATCCTCCTTGCTGACAAGGGCAATGCCACGGTGGTCATGGACCGGGTTGAGTATGATCACAAGGTCATGGATGTACTCAATTCCGGCAGCTACCGTGAACTTCGGAGAGACCCCACGGCAGCCATCGAGAGGAAGCTGCAACAGAAGCTTCTCTCCCTCCACCGCTCGGGGAACATCACAGAACAGCTGTACCGACAGTTACGTCAATCCTATTCAAGATGCCCAAGATTCTTTGGCCAGCCCAAGATACACAAGAAGGAGACCCCACTTTGCCCCATTGTCGCTTCCAGAGGAGGGCCCACCTACAACACTGCAAGACACCTGGCCAAGATCCTTCGCCCTCTAGTTGGTAACACCCGGCACCACATCAAGAACTCAGATGAATTCTCCTCCATCATCCAACACCTCCGGCTGCAGCCGGGCGACATCATGGTCAGCTTTGATGTCATGTTGCTCTTCACCTGCGTTCCCACCTCTGACACAACCACTATAGTGAGGGACCGACTCCAAGCCGACACCAGCCTCAAGGACCGCACCGACCTCACCCCCAGCCAGCTTCAAGACCTCCTCACCATCTGCGTCGATTCTGCCAGCTTCCAGTGGTGGGACAAATTCTATGAACAAACAGCTGGAACCTCCATGGGATCCCCTATATCCCTGGTTCTGGCTGACATATTCATGGAAGAGTTTGAGCAGACCGCCATCACCACAGCAGACCACCGCCCCAAGATCTATCTCCAGTATGTGGATGACACCTTCGTCATCTGGGAGCACAGGCAAGACAACCTTCAACTCTTTTTGGACCACCTCAACTGGCTTCAAAGCAGCATCCACTTCACCATGGAACAAGAGAGGAATGGCAGCATTTTGTTTCTTGATGTTGAGGTGTCCAGAAGGGAGAATGGCAGTCTTGCCCGGAGGGTGTATCGCAAGCCCACCCACACCGACCGGTACCTCAACAGTGCCTCCTTCCACCACCCCAAGATCAAGTCATCGGTCAACAGAGCCGTCATCCGCCGAGCATACAACATCTGCGACCAAGAGCACCTACACAAGGAACTCCACCACATCTCCACAGCACTCCAACGCAACGGATACCATTCAAAGCAAATCAAGACTCAAGACCCAAGATCAAGTCCCCCTCCAGGCCGTAGAGTCCCTTATACCCAAAGCCAAATACCTAGGAAATACCTCCCACCACATCCAGCGTATCCTGAGCAAGCACAACATCAAGGTGTTCCACACAGCTCCCCTCAAGATCCACGGGCTGACTTCCCATAAGGACAGGCAAGATCCACGCCGCCGACCAGGTGTGTACAAGATCCCCTTCCAGTGTGGCAAAGTGTACATCGGAGAGACTGGTAGGGACCTCCCTACTAGGATCAAAGAACACAAAGCCCATGGCAGGAAGGGGGACTATGAGAAGTCAGCCATCATCAAGCATTCCCAAGCCGAAGACTACACCAACTGGGAAGAAGCCCACCTCATCGCTAGCATCGAACAGTGGTACCCAAGACGCATTAGAGAAGCCCTGGAAATCTCCAAACACCCCACCGTACCTCAAGACATCGGCTTCTCCATCAGTGACATCGGGCAGCCCCTGCTCACCTCCTGGTCTGATGGGTCCTCTATACCCTAGGCCCCCTCTCCCATGGGTCTTCTATACCCAGGCAACCTTCCCCCGCCACAGCCCATGACCAACTGACATGCATCAGTACCCAGGTGGATCCATCAGCTGTATCCTCGTTTCACCTGACTACACAGAAGGATCCGTCACACTCCAGTGCTCCCAGTCAGCTTATAAGCCCCACTCTCTGTCGGCATCTCTTCAGTCTCCTGACGACGGACAGAGCATACTGTCCGAAACGTTGAGTTCCTCACGGTTCTTTTCAGAACCATACAGACTCACAAAAGAGATTGTATCCTTCCAGGGTGCTACCGCAAGCTTTCCACCTTAGTAGCCAAGTGTTACCGGGCAGATCCACTCCAGAAATGAGAATTGGGTGAAGCAGCTAACTCCAAGGTACAAGATTTGTTATGGTATATCAATGGTATTAAAAAATGACAGTCGACAGGGATGATGACAAATAACTGTCTGAAAGTTAAAGAAACTAAATAACCAGTAAATCGCATGAAATTTGATTCCTTCTTACAGGTTTTAAGTTACATGTAATTGTTGTAGGACATCAATTCCCTTACTGTAATGTGTAGTGCATTACCTAACATACTAGGAATGGCCCATGTAGTCATAAAAAAAACATTATTTACACTCTGACTAAACAGAGTATAAATAATGTATAAAACACATTGTGTACAAAATAATATTTTATTATTTATAATACACTCTGGTTCCCATACTAGAGGTATTTTAATGTTACTTTTGAGTTAACTGTTTTTGCAATCTTACAATTTCAAAGAAATGGAGCGGCCTCAAGAAAACAGCTCAGAAAGTCATGTCTGAAAGTACCCACTCTTGAAAGTCCTGATACAATGCGAAAAACTATAACCAAGGTGAATGTTATGAAGGTTTCATATTGATTGTAGCTGTCATAAAATGGATTATGCTTGGCTGTTCCTCGCAGCCTGAAAGCTCCCTATAGAATTAACAGTATAAGATTCAATCCATCTCATGCGTGAACAAATTTCCAATTAAGGGCAATAAAATTGTAAGTTTCTGAACAAACAATCACCCATTACTGTGAATTCTTCATGTTCATACAGGTAATAATGATCTATGTGTATT